ACTACAATGTTTGTAAACAATACTACAATGGGTGTAAAATTACTACAATGTTTGTAAACAATACTACAATGGGTGTAAAATTACTACAATGGGAGTAAAAATAGTACAATGTTTGTGAAAATACTACAATGGGTGTAAAATTACTACAATGTTTGTAAAAATACTACAATGGGTGTAAAATTACTACAATGTTTGTAAAAATACTACAATGGGTGTAAAATTACTATAATGTTTGTAAAAATACTACAATGGGTGTAAAATTACTACAATGTTTGTAAAAATACTACAATGGGTGTAAAAATACTACAATGTTTGTAAACAATACTACAATGGGTGTAAAATTACTACAATGTTTGTAAAAATACTACAATGGGTGTAGAATTACTACAATGGGTGTAAAATTATTTTTGAAGTGCTTCAATGTAGATTGAATTACATTAGCGAGCTACATTAGATAAATAATTATATTTCAACATTTTTTCTTATTTAAAAATCACTTCGTCTCGATATATTTGCGATTGCCCTGATTATTTTGTAGAGTGCCATGCAGAACGCCGTCGCGTGCCAAGCTCGGCACGCGTGCCGTAGGTTGCCGATGCCTGTTCTAGATCATACTAAAATATTACGACCCTACGACACCTCGTTTAGCTTTAAAATTTCGTTAAAATTTGCAAAAATTAGTATGGTCTTTTTAGGCATTTGTCAAAATTAGAACTTTCATCGACGTTTGCTCAAAAACGCCTGAACCGATTTCAGAAATTCAAAAACCATTTGATGTATCTCGATGAGGATTATCGTTTCTCAGTTTTGTGCGACGATCGGCCGAGCCGTTTCTTTGTAATTTGGAAAAAAGTGTTAAACCTTTCGTCCACATTTAAGCTTATACTACCGAACCGATTTTAAAAAATCAAAAACTGTTCGAAAGATATTAGTTGGGAACGATGCTGATTAGGTTTAGGTGAAAATCTACCGAGCCGTTTTCTTGTAATTAACTGTTGAAAAAAAAATTTAATCCGATTTTTATGGAACTTTTTTGGGCGATAATATCATGGTCTTATAGAACTTACAGAAATATTACGGCCTTACGACAAGTAGTTTAATTTTAAAAATTCATCAAAGTTTGAGAAAATTAGTAGTTCTTTTGACATTTGTTAAAATTAAAATTAGATGATTTACCTGGTATAACGATAAATGCTTGGTAAACAATTAAGGTCCTACAAAAAACTGGCTCAAATATTAAAATTATTGATTTTTGAAAATTTGCTTTTAAAAAATACTCTGACTGGGTTGACGTGTTCGATTTTCAATAATGTGTAATAAATCCACTTCGAGTACTTTTAACTACTCATAAATTATTAAATCTATCATGAATTAAGTCGATTATTTACACAAATCGGGAAGTTCATGTAACTTGCCTCAAGGCAAAATACCAATGCCAACTAGTTTAAATATGTTATATTCATTTATAAATTCATATACATTAATTTATTCATTATAATAGAGGTGAGAAAATTAAAGAGTTGATGGAAACATTAGAGCAGCGTAAGGTGGAAGCAATTCAGTTTACATTCCGTCAAGTTTCAAAATACTTTACATCAGTTTTTAAAAAACTTGTTCCTACTGGTCATGGAAGTTTGATTATGAAAACTACTCAAGAAGAAGCTGATAAAGCGTTTCCTAAGGCATGTTGATTACAAATAGTAATACAATTTGTTAGTAAGTCTAAATTCATTAATTATTATTATATTTACTGTTTTGCAGTTTACTGGAGTTGCTATTAGAGTATCTTTCACCGGAGGAGATGCTGAAATGAAAGAAATGAATCAACTCTCAGGAGGTCAAAAGTCTTTAGTTGCTTTAGGATTAATTTTTGCAATCCAAAAATGTGACCCAGCTCCATTCTATTTGTTTGATGAAATAGACCAAGTAAGTCTACTTTTTAAATCATATTTACTTACTTATTCAATAATTTAGTGATGATAGCTTAATGAAAACAATTAGTAATTGGTATTCTCTATTATTCAGGCTTTGGATGCTCAACACAGAAAAGCAGTTGCTGATATGATACATGAATTATCTGCCGATGCTCAATTCATAACAACCACATTCAGGCCAGAGTTATTGGAACATGCAAATAAATTTTATGGAGTAAAATGCAGGAACAAAGTAAGCCACGTAGAATGTGTTACAATGGAAGAAGCTCAAGACTTCGTAGAGGATGACAGTACACACAGTTAAATGTATAAAATTGAATAGTAATCATTTTCCAAATAATTTTTATATCTAACTTGTAATTTTAGATAAATATTTTTAGATATTTGATGTTGCATTTATTGCATGAATTATGGTTAAAACAGTTTTTGAAGTTATAAATATATATTTAAATATATCACATATGTAACCAAGATATTTATTCATTTTTTATCTAAAAAAAGCTCAATGAATTTGCTAAAAAAATCTGTTTACCTATTTATTCAAACATGATGTTTATGCACATTTATATGAAACAAATAATTAATTGACAGATCTCATGAGCGTAATATAAATATTACATTTGTTTGATGAAACATCAAATTAACTTCAAGCATAGCTCAATCAATCTCTTAATTCTGGACAGAGATTTATACATTTAAAAAATTGCAGAGTGAAATTTTACATTGAAAATGATTAAGATATGCATTTCTATTTTATGATTTCTATTTATATTTATATATAATATACATTAAACATCCATGTTATTTTTTGAAATTATTATGAATAGAAACATGTAAAATTAAAATTACTACATTTTGAACTTTTCAACACTCGAACTAATTGCTAATATGATATCTTGGTTTTTATAGACAGACATCGCAAAATTAGATCCTCTGTGTTTTATGCAAAATTCTTTAATTGGGGTACTTTTTCTTGGTTGCAGGGCATAATGTGTAGTTGGTTGGTGACCCTGCCCTTTTGTATTTGATTTGTAAATGTATTCTCAAAATGTAATATTTTGTCAAATATTTCAGCTGAAAACAAGTTTATAAACTTCAATTGTGACTTTGCTTTTTATTTATATTTTTAACAGTAGTGTACAAAATGTATGACTTTAGTGCACACACTTCCATTATCCAGTTTTTTTTTGCTTGTTATTGGTTGAAGTGATCTACTCCATGCATATTGATTGTATGAGCATTAGTTTTAAGTTTTTCTGACTGATTCACCATCAAGTATTCCTTCTATCAACTGCTACCAACCTGTTGTTGAAAGTTCTTAACAAGATTACATAGGTTTTGCCTTTCCGTTTCCTTGGCTCTTACCAATTATTTCTCTTTAAAGTCATCACTAAAAATTCCTTATTTATTTCTATTGTGTGTTAAAACTGGAATGCTGAAAATAATTACACTTTTGTGAAGTGCAGCTTCAGTAGCTTTAATTCAACATAATTTCTTACTTCTATTTCTCAATTGAGAGTTTTGATAAGCAATTTCGATTTAGATTATGTGTTGTCTTACGACTTTAATAATTCTGTTCATCATGTTTCAATTATTGACTTTAAGAGCTCCCTTGACCAGCTTCCCACACAAGTTGAATAGGACCTATTGAATACATGTGATCTATCAGATAAAGTTCAATTAAAAATTTCTAAATATTGTTACTGTGAACCATTTGGAACAATTTAATTTTTTAAAACTCAAAAGTATTTGTTCGCCATAAACTATCTTATGCAAAAAGGAAACGAAAATAAGCCAGCAAGCAGAAAATACAATTGTAATTAGTTATTTATTGCATGTTCAAATAATTTAAATACATCATATATTCAAACATAAATAAATTTGGAAAGTACTTCAGAACTTATTTAATAAATTACTTATAAAAAATGCTTAATATACATTTCTTCATTGCATCACAATCAGTTCACTACCATATCATCATCTAGGTATAACCTTTGCATCTTTTGCTTGTAAACTGCGCTATCAGGATTGAATTCAGGGTTTCTGCATCCTTCTAGTTTTTTTTCTATAGCTTTAACCTTTTCTTTTGGAGGAATTTCAATAACTTTTACCATTGATCTTATTGTTCTAACAGCTTCAATAATAACTCCTAATCTATCTCTGCCAGCATTTTTAAATAAAGTATCGGTAACATAACTGTCAAGGTTTTCTTGTTCTTTGCTGGCAGCATGTAAAACTGCAGCAAGAGCTATTTGAGATGGTGCGTACAAGAGACAAACATCACTAAAAAACGTTCTGTCTATAAAGTCTTCAATTCCAGGGCGAAGTCTTTCAGGATTTGGTAAAGAACAACGGGTTTTTATATCTATTAGAAAACCTTCTATTGCTCGAAAAGGATTGTGTATTGTTAAATTATACTTCAGTTGTTGCATCAATAACAGTTCATTTTGTAGTATAATGCTTTCTGCTTTTGCTTGGTCACCCTTAATATTATGAACAAACTGAGTAATTGATACATTGAATTCTTCTACTTTGCAAGCTAAGTAAACACAAGTTGCTAAAATATCTCTCGGATGATAATCCATTGTAGAATTGTACAAATAAAATCTTTTAAAATAATGAAAAGATGTACCCTGAACACATTTCGGCATGGGTGGCGTAAACTTTCTACAAAACTCTTTCATGTGAATTTCGTAATTCTTCAACAAAATTTTTTCTTCTTCTGGTGTAAGAAAATAATTTAGTTTCTGGTCTGTATCTAATTCTTCGCCGTATGTTAATTGATATCTCATATTATGTTTTTCACGCAGCATTGTAATAACATTTTCATTGCTGAAGGTCCAACTATGTTTTTGAGTACTAGTTGCAAACATTGTAAAGTTTATTCTGGATATTTATTTATATATATTATACGTAAAATATAATGTATGAATGTATAATTCAGTTATTTTCCGATTATTACTTACACATTATTTATATTCCGGTATCGGTATGTACTGAGCGCTCTGAGCGCTGCTCAAACGATGTGTTTACATCAGATGTCATAATTATTATGGGTCAGATTAACGGGGGGTTTGAGAACCATTCTGGTATGCCACTGTCAGTCTATCACGAATTGAACAAATTGTTGTTTTGAATCGTTCTATAGAATGCAAATAAATAAAAATAAGTAAACAGGTCTGTTTCCCTTCTTTATCAGTCTATTGTTAGTTTTATCTAAACTATGAGTAACTAAGATATTTATTTTAAATGACTTTTAGCATTCACTTCAGCTTTAAATTAATATAAGTATTAATAAAGAGTATTAATAATGAACAAAACTAGTGATGGCATGCAATACAGAGATCTGTCTCAGCATTCGCCTATTCCATATGAAGGCGACGAAGTATCGGAACAAATGACGGCTTCTTACAGTGAAATATCTTTCAACCCTCAAATTACGCAAAATAACTTAGAATTAGATATAGATAAGATTGCAATGTGCGATCGCCCTGCAAGTATATCTTCTGAAGGCACGTTTCATTTAGATGGAGAGATGACACATTTCGTAGCTCAAGACTTAGAACATAAAATAAAATTGGCCAGCCCTAATGTAAAACCTAATGATATAACTGATATAGGAACAAGTATCACATCACTTTATAGGCCTTTTCATCAAGTCAACGGAGATATTTTAAATGATCTTGAAATGGAAACACAAAGAATTGCTACTTCTATTGATACACTTACAGAGAACTTGTGCGGTATTTTACATTCCATTTCATCTATAACTGCTGATAATGTCAATACATATAAAAATGCTGTCATTAAAATGACTGATGCTATGGATGCTAATATTAAAGGCATGTATACATTAGTCGCAAAAGCCGAGGAAGTTTCACAAGTAATGAAACCTGTAGCCACATATTCTGCAAGGATTAAAGAAATAAAGCGACTTGTAGATTTATTTGATAGTAATTTATGAATTATGTTTTGATAGTTTGCATTATTAGCTATCAGAGCAAATAAGTTTAATGGCAAATTTTACCAATGCTTGAAATAACTTCAAATGAGTTTGTTTGTTGTTTCAGTTAAAATCCTAATTTACAATACAGGATCACTAAGCCATTATTCATCAACAAGTAAATGCTGGAGATAAATAATGTTTTTCAACTTCATCGATTGCAGAGTTGACAGTGAAATAAAATTATAGGCAAGTTAAATTACTGCTTGAAATTGTAATCAATTCTGGGCTTATGTTATGTTATGATTAATTTATATAATCGTTACAAAATAAGTAAGTTTTATAGTATTATTTATTACTTTTTTTGAAGATATGTACAAATAATGCAACAATAATTATGGGATATAAATAATTTATTTCACATTTATACTTTAAAGTAATTCTTGTACCTTAATACTGATGGCTAGTGACTAGATTCTTAATTCATTATAAATGCACTATATTATTTATAAGAAATATAAAAGTTATGTGTAATATACATAAGAATTACAATAAAATTACAGCTTGAACTGTTTTATTACTATAACTATGTGTTTATACTCTAATGCAAATGCTTAATATAAACTAGTTTTTTTCATGATTCTTAAAAATTCTTCTTGATTTATAAGTCCATCACCATCTAAATCAGCTTCATCGATCATTTCTTGGAGCTCTTCATCCGTCAGTGTTTCACCAAGCTCTTGTGACACTCGTTTCAAGTTTTTAAAACTTATTTTGCCTGTGTCTTCATCATCAAAAAGTCTAAAAGCTTTCATTATTTCTTCTCGTATATCCTTGTCTAACATTTTTTGGTACATGAGGTTCTGAAAAGTGTCAAAGTCTATTTTGCCACTACCATCTTGATTAATTTCTGTGACCATTTTTTTAATTTCCTCTTTTTTAGGTTCAAACCCTAAAGCACGAATAGCAACTTTTAAATCTTTAATTTCAATAGTTCCGGTTCGTTCATTGTCAAACAAATCAAAAGCTTGTCTTAAATCAGCTTTTTGTTCATCAGATAATTCAATTTTGGGAGCAGAATTTTTTTTTCTTGCTCCGGGAGCTCCCGAAGATATACGTTTGGAAGTAACTGTTGTCTAAGAAAAGATGTGTATTTATTAATATTTATTTTCTATGCTCAACATTGATAAAATAACAGAATAATACCATTGTTCAAGATTTTCTTCTAATACTGGAGAAAGTAGGTAATACCTCAAAAGCTTGGTTATAATTATTTATAGGTATCAAATGCACTCGTTACTATAAGCAATCAATCAATTATTTATTTTAAACATAAACATAAACTAGTATCTCCAAACACCATTGATTGATTTCGACCTTGACAACGCTTTATTGTAGCTTCTTGAACTGTCAAATTTTATGGCGGGATCGGCGCGAATGCGAATTGTGTGATAAATCGAGTGGATTACATTCTTAGACAATGTAATAATATTGTCATGTAATATGTTTAATGAACAATAAATATGATTACATTATCGCATATTGTTTGGGATCAATTAATAGATGTAGGAATTATGTTATATATTTTCTAGAAAGATAAGGTTGTTAGCAGTGAATAGAAGCATATAAGTTAGAAGTCAGTACAGATGATGTCGTTTACTTAATTTCAAATATTTTTTATTATTTTAAAAAAATGGTTTGATAGCTGATATGGCGAATAAAAGACAACAGGAAAACTCCCAAGAAAGTGGTATAGTTGAGGCGAAACGAGCGAAACTAGTTAAATCTATAACCTCGGTAAGTATTTCCAAACGACACTAAACAAAACTAATATTTATGCTCAATAATTCTTATATATCTTACATCAATTTTCCAGAGCGATAGACCAGGCAAAATTAATAAAATCCACCTGAGAAATTTTATGTGTCATTCATCTTTAAAAGTAGATTTTAACAAGAATATTAACTTTGTAATAGGCAGAAATGGAAGTGGTAAAAGTGCTATATTGACTGCGTTAATTGTGGTTTTAGGAGGAAGAGCCAGTAATACTAATAGATCTACATCAATGAAAGGTAAATAGTATTAAAACAATTGAAATTTCCATGCATAGAATGATATTCACACACACAGATAAATAATTCAAAAATATTGAATTTTGAATTCTATAAATTTTGGGGAGACAATTGAGATTATGGTAAATATCTGGTATATTAATTCAGTCACTGGTGGATGGATGGTCTCTCATCAAATTTGTTCAAAAGATTAAGTTTTTTCCATATTAAATTACTGGATCTAACTAATCTTTAAAATAGCCTCAATTAAGCTTCATTATGTTTTATTTTATACTACAGAGTTTATCAAAAAGGGCTGTGCCGCAACTACTATAGATATAGAAATAAATAATATTGGTCCTTTCGCATACAAAAAAGATATATTTGGAGATTCTATATTAGTGTCGAGACAATTAAACTCATCTGGAACATCTAGCTTCAAAATTAAATCAGATTCAGGTGCTTTTGCTTTGTTATGTTTATAATTTATTCTATTGGTAAATACTAATATTAATAATCTATTATAATTTTGTAAATTGCAGGAAACATTATATCAACAAAAAAATGTGATCTACTTAAAATTACCTCCCACCTTAAAATAATGATAGATAATCCTTTGAGTGTTTTAACACAAGACACTGCCAGAACATTCCTGAATAGTTCAGATCCTAAAAAGCGATATATATTCTTTACTAAAGCTACTTCTTTAGATTATATTAAGGCTACAATTCAGGAAATAGTTGCAGTCATTAGAAAGAGTAATGAACAAATGCAAAAATACAAAGAGGTAATTATAAGATTATACTTCCTGAGAAACATTAATTAAATGTTTATTCTGAATCAAGACAAATATAAATTATTTCAAATTAGTCATACTAGAGGTAATATTTTTTCTTTCTATTGCATAATTGTTTAAAGTGGAATAAAATTAAGGAAACTATAAGCGGTGTATTTCATAGGGTATAACAATGAATAAAGACGATTTGAAATGATTTGAATGTCGGAAATATATTAGTACAAACAAATTGTAATTAAATTTTTTTTACGATCTAAAATAATACAAATCTAGATTATAATAATTATGAAATTATAAGTCTTGACATATGAACATTTTTAAGGATTTGTAAACTTTTCATCATATAATATATATCATATATAATTTATCTTAATTTATAATTTACAGAAACAAGAATCTTTGAAATCCAGAGTGGAAGAAATTCGAAAGCAACTAGCAAAATTCAAATCGATAGACTCTTTAGAACAAACGAAAAAGAATATTGAAATTGAAATACTATGGTCAAATATAATGAAAATTGAAAAAGAAAAGTCTTCTGAATTGATAAAATTAGAAGAAAAACTCAATGAGATAGTAGATATGGAAAAACAAATATCTGAGGAAGATAACATAAAGAAAAGTTTAAATTCAAAAATACAGTAAGTATTTATAGCTTTATTAGAAATATCCAATTCATATTCAAAAATACTAGGCTTGTATAGTATTTTGTAGGATAGAACAGTAAAGAGCGTCTCTAAATCAATGAATTCATTGTTTAGTAAAATTTAACTATTTTCTATTTTATCTATAAGTATTATAAAGGACAAGGATAAAGTTAAAGAGAGTAATGATTAAATTATTTTTTTTGTTTATGGTTTTAACTTGTTAGAGATTTTAAAGACTCTCAAAATTTTAACATTTCTTTTATACCAGTATTAAAAATATTAAGATCTATATTCGTACGAGTTGAAAAAGTGTTCTCTCTATAGAAACCTATGCTCAATTTTTTTTGCAAGGTATGTGTTTGATTATCAAAAATGTTTTACCTTGCTTACACAATAAATATAGTGTATATAGAATAAATGTTTAAACTGAGATCCATTTTCTCAAATGCTTTAGTTTTGTAAATACAGTTATTGCTTATCCTATTGTTCAAGCAGGGTATAAATTAACAGTGATCATTATCGGAACTATGTAATTTTTGAATTATTATTAAATAAAAACATTTTATTTCTTTCTTTCATTCACTTGTAATATAGAGTACGCTTACTCAACATTATTATTTTCAGATCATTTGTAAACAGCTTGAAAGAGAAGCAGAGTGATACAGAAAAATTAAGGTCATTTTATAATGAAATCAAAATAAATCTAAAAAGTGAAAAAGACGTATACCAACAAAAGGCTGAAACTTTGAAACAGACTAAAGCTAGTCTAATGAAAATAAATAACTCTCAAAATATAATAATGCAAGAAATTGAAAATAAAGAGAAACAGTAAGTGTAAACCGATTGCCTGTTCAATAATATATTTAACTTTGACTTATATTTTAAGATTGAGCATTTGGCAAGAGCTCAAAGAGCAAAAGGAGCAGAAAATGAAAACTCTTTTAGCTCGAGAAGAAGAATTGAAACATTTCCGTCAAGTTACACAAGTGGAGTCATCTACTTTTTTTGGAAATAATGCAAAGCTTCAGGATGATATTGAAAGAATAACCGTAAAATTAAATCAACTCAATGGAAAAATAAGTAAGATTTTCTGTATCAGTTTATGTACATGTATATAATATGTATATATATATATATATATATATATATATATATATATATATACTATACTATGTAAAATTATTTTATGTGTGACATTTATTTAAATGCAAATATTTTCAAAATGTTATTTCAGTAGTACCTATTTTGGTATGTTTTAATTGTTTCTAGACCAAACTACTTCCATTCTGAGACAGTTGAATAATCAATCATGTAATGTACTATCTTTATATGGAACACATATACCTGAATTATTAGAAATGATTAAGAAGGCACATCAAGCAGGAAAGTTTACTGAACTTCCCAGGGGTCCTATAGGTATGTCTCTTCTTTTAATTTATTTTTGAAAACAAAATTTTGCAACATATTATTTTGAACTAGGGTTTATATTACAATCCTAAATATAAAGTGATACAATACTATCATTACTTCTTATTTATATGCTGATAATAATAATTATAAATTAAGTTGAAAAGTAACTATTAACACGAATTCACAACAAAAAATAAGTTATTATTTCAATATACAACAAATATCTCTTAAATAAAATATTTTATATTCAGTTAATATTTTATATAGATATGTGTGAGTGCTTGTGTGTATATATATGATTCCTAATCATATTGTTGACTTCAGGGAGTTATATTAAAGTAAACAATAAAGCTTGGGCAGGTGTGATTGAGAAGACTCTTGGCGTCAGTTTTCTTAAAGGTTTTCTTGTGTCGAATTCCCAAGATGGACAAACTTTAGTCAAGATTATAAAAAAGTGTTTTCCCAGCACTCCACTACCTATTAGAATTTCAAGCAAGTTTATTCACAAGGTAATTAATATATATATATATATATATATATATATATATATATATATATGTGTGTGTGTGCTTGTGTGTGTGCTGTATCCTGACATATGACCTTATTTTATTCTATTACCAAGCTCATGTCTCTAAGCAATTCATGATATTGTGGAAACGAGTTAGACATATTTTGTTAAACAACTCCCATGTTCAAACTGTTGTAACTTTTTTGAAATATTTTTTATCCACAAATTATAGATCTCAGAAAGCTGCTTATAAATTATAGTAAGGCTTTGGAGTTGTATCTATTATTAAACACAGTAAATATCTATGATGTGTTAAGCTCGTACTTCTTTGCCATACTCATATTTTTCAATACTTTTATGCTTTAATTCAAGAGACATGGCCCTTATTTTTAGATCCATGTTTATAAAGGCAAATAATATTTTGTAAATATACAGAAAGTGAAAAAACACTATTAATGCATGTATAGTTAAAAATAACCCTCAATTAATTTGCGTGGGTAAATCGTTACTACGCAATTACTATTGTAATATATGTTAACTATATTAACATCTAATTGATATGTCTAACTATAAAATATTTTTATGGTAGAAAAATCATCGATACAACTGAGAAAAGTTTTCATATTTTTGCTTGTAAGTCGGGGTACCACTGTAACTAGTATTTTTTTTAATAGTTAATTTATTAAATGCCCCTAACTGGACAGTTGTAAATAAAAGAGAGAATAATAAAAAAAAATTATGTCAAAATATATTGTGATTAAACTGTAACTGTAAGAAATACTTAATGTGATTGTAGGTGCATGATATCTCAAGAAGTAAAGCACATAGCGACAAATCAAATGGAATCTTGAACTTCTTTGATGCCATAACTGTGTCAGATCCAGTGGTTGCCAACTGCTTAATAGATCAACATAATATAGAGCGACTTTTGCTTTTTGAATCTGAAGATAAGGCAATGCAGTTTATGTCTCAAGCAGATATGGTACCAAAGAACTCTAAAATGGCAATTCTGAAAGATGGAACTATTTATTATCCCGTTCCAAATTATAGAATGTATTATGGAGATAAACCGGCATCACATCTACTCGAGATTAATATAAAGGGACGTCAAATGTAAGCTAATTATTTTTGTATTATTAACAATTGCATACTCCACCCTCCTTTTCATATGCCACACTCCTTTAGTATTATATATAATTATGTATTGCTATTTATTTCTTTGAATTAAAATCGTAGACAACTACAACAAGAATTAGAAGAATATCAAGCAGAAGTTGCCAACTATGAATCAAATCTGACGGATATAAAAAACCAATGTAGTATCGGTCAAAAAGAAGTTGCAAGGCTGAACAGCCAAATAAAAGAATATGATAATGAAACATACCAAATACAAAATAAGTTGCGAGAACTAAAAAATGAAGAAGAACCCTCTGAAGGTATATTGTTATGATATTTTTTTATGATTATTAACTTTCCGTAGGGTAGTTATACTAATGGGCGAAAATCGAAAATTAAATAGAAAATTTTTGCATATCTTCATGTTTTGAAGGTTTCTGAACATTTTGGAATACCTCAGAAAAAATGGATGTGTGTGTGTTTTGTATGTCCGCATTTTTTCGTCCACGTTGTCGGACGCAGGAATCAACCGATTTGTATGGTTCAAAAAACATTGATAGTGATTCCTATTGATAGAGAGAGATGTGCTGATTAGTTTTTGGCAAAGGCAAGTGCAGCCGTTACGGAGATACGGAGCAAAGAGTGCAGAAAATACAAATCGAGTTTTTGAGAGAACTAAGCGTCCGATTTGAATGATTCAGAGACCTTACTGCTTGTTTTAACAAAATAATTGCCTTTGAAAAAAAAATTGTTTCCATTTTTTTCTTTTTTTCATATTTTTTTTTTCAAAAAATTTTTTTTTTGTATATAGAAAATAATTCAGATTTTAATTTTAATTCTGACTAAAGTTCTAATATTTTTTAAACAAATAATTTCAACTTTGCAATTCAGTTTATATAATTCTTATATATATACGAGGTGTGTTCAAAAAGTACCCGGAATTACTAATAATTAAATTTCGCGGGTCTGGAGTGTCTGATTGTCAAAATTTTTTTTTTATTGTGTTGGTATACATGCCCCTAAAGTATGATGAAATTTTCAGCTATATTCACTGTTTACTTTGTCTGTGGTAGTCGCTAAGGTTCGACGTGTTTTTCTGAGCTCGGCGATTTTTACAATGGAAGAATTGAAAAGTCAAAGAATTTGTATTAAATTTTGCGTAAAAAATGAAATAAAGTGTTGCAAAGTGCAAAAATTCACCAGATATGGCTCCGTGTGACTTTTTCCTATTCCCAAAGTTGAAGAGACCCATGAAAGGACGGCGGTTTTCCTCGATTGAAGAAAATCGCTGAGAGTGCTCAAGGACATATCAAAAAGTGAATATCAAGGGTGCTTCGAAAATTGGAAAAAACGCTGGCATAAGTGTATTATATCTGGGGGGGACTACTTTGAAGGGGACCACATTAATGTAGACGAATAAATAAATATTTTTTTGAAAAAACGAAAATTCCGGGTACTTTTTGAACAGACCTCGTATATTACCACAATGTTGCAATATTTATTATAACCTATTTGAAAACATTTAATGTTTCTCGAACATTACGTTACGGTACGGGAAGTTCCAGCAATTTGTCTTGAGGCACGATGCAATACACCACTAGTTTGTTTTCATTTACTTCAAATATTCATGTGCACATGTGCGAGCATATATGTATTAATTTTGTCAGTCGCTTCAGAACCTATTTTCGGAATCGGTTCCTAAGTTTTGAAATCCCGATTTTCGGAACCGTACTCTGAACCAGATCCAAAGTCTAAGCCGACTTTAATGCATAAATTAAAAATCTTAATAAGAAAGTAATATTAAAAAAAAATCTAAATCTATAAAATTATAAATGCTTTATTTTTGTTCTTATACATGCATTATGAATCAACAACACATATCACGCAAAAGCTTCGATGTTTAAATTAATTTTTTTTTTCTTAAGGGAGCGTTTCGCTATTAAAAGAAGAATTTGACATTTTAAGTAAGAAGGAAAATGATTTGAAGAATTCTCTTCATGAAATTGAAGATGACATGAAAAGAGCAAAGTGTTGTATTCAAGAACTTAATGAAAATATAAATCAGGCAAAATCGCAAGTTCTGAAATCTGAAGAAGCTTGCTTATCCATGCAGGTAATTATTTAATTTGACTTGTGAAACTAACTCTAAACTAGTTGTAAGTAGCATTTTACCTTAAAGCAAGTTGCATGTAAATAATCAACTTAATCAACATCTACAGCTATTTAGGTAAAATGTTCATTTTGAAAATAAATTTTTTGCATTCACTAAAAATATAATCAATAAGATTTCTAATTGATGTCTTTCAAAATCTTCTAAAATGAATTTTATTTAAGTGTACACATACGAAACATACGGAACGTATTATACATACATCCGCGCGCGGAGCAATTCTAAACTTTGATCGATTTTTATAATTCAACCGCTTATCGTAGGCTAAAACATCATAGATTTTAGCATGGTATTTCAGTCTACGAAATCTATTGTTATCAAAAATTATTTTTTATTAAAATACAGAAGACTAGGTTGATGATCATAAATTGAGATCCATCAGTAGTTTTTTAATACTTTTATAATTATAACAGAAACTCAATTATTATTTAACGAATACGAATTTATGGCTTGTCACATATTTTTTATATCGATATTAATTTATAATATAATAACTATAGATATTAAAAATTACTCCCGCGTGTCATTATTAAGTTAATAAATCATTATATAATTTTAAGATTGCACTCGGGCAAAAATTGACTGTTAAGCAAAATTTGCATTTGTAACTTCCTTTCTTCCTAAGTCATGTATTATAATTTTTTATTAGATTTAGTTGAATTCTTAATCCATGGTAATATTATTATTTTTTTATGAAATTATCAATTTAATATTTTTCATGTTTCAGACAAGATCTATGTATAAGAACAATATTGTATTAAACGTACTATTTGCACTTTATATATATATATATATATATATATATATATATATATGTATATATACATATACACCCAAGTCTGTTTTTACACGGAGATTGGTTCCAGAAGAAGCCGTGTAAAAAAAAACGTGTAAAAAAAGACATTGATCTTATACAAAAATGGGTGATTTGTTCCTAATCTCTAAAACCTATTAAAATTGGTGAAAAACAAGAATTTTTAAGAACAAGAATTAAATTAGTGCTATTCACATTTGCTTTGACCAGTAAAAATTGTTTGTACGCGCTAAAGGGGAATTCACTTAAATCTTTAAGCTAGTGTTCGCAAACTATCGATACTATCGATGGTTTCAGACTTTTTTCTTTCATGAATACTTTTTTGTGATATGAACATACTTCGCAAAAATTTAATTTGACAAAAAAAATTTAGGTACATAAAATTTCAAATCGTGCTAAATGGAATAAATTCGTGTAAAAAAATTAAAAATATTCAATTTTCAAACCGTGTTATTTCAAAACCGTGTACAAAAAGACCGTGTAAAAACAGACTTAGGTGTATATATATATATATATATATATATATATATATATATATTATTGTTTATACAGGATAAAATCGATCAATTAGAGCAGAGTAAAAGAACAAGCTCAAAGAAGGGCACTTTAGAGACAAAAATTAATACTGTCAAACAACAATGTGAGGAAATTAAAAAACAAGTCAATTGCTTAGAAGAAAAATTAAGTGAGCTAATGAACGGGGTCGACGAAGCTACTAGGCCATCTACTGTAAGGTATAAATGTATTTTACTTGTTCTTTCATTTGTGTTATCGTATTTATCATATTACCAATTTTAACTCAATGGAATCATGTATTTTCATAGAACAATAGCATACTTAAATGAACAATTGCAACAAATTAAATCAAGTATTCGATCTGTGAATGCATGTGCTCTTGATCCAGCTAAATTACAGAAAGAATATGATGAAAAACTAAGCGAATATGAAAAAGAAAAATTAAATAATGAATCTCACCAAGATGCCCTTAACGAGGTAAAATTTGGTTTCCTTACTCCAGAAAGCTTTGGTTTAGCACAGTGTCAACATCTCTTCCTTGTTTCTTGATGCGGTTTTTGACAGTGTCACATTTACTTTAAATCTCTCCCCAATTCAGCGGCCTAGTAGAACCAACTAGTTAGTGATTCTTATGCATAGAAGAAGGATCCAAAGAACAATTTTGCCACTGCCACTGAATTGCTGTTTAAACGAAATTGTTTTTTAAATAATTCAATGTAAATGAAACTATTTTTTAAATAAAACGTTTTAGCATAGAAAAACTATATAGGTCCAAAGACTTCTGGAGTGAATGTGTTAATCTACTCTTTTATTTTTTCTAATTTGACATTTTACATGTATGAATTCAATGTTTTTAGTTAACTGCAATTGTAAACATGAGGCATAAAGTATTTCTAAAATTACGGGCGCATATGACGTCACAAGTTCAGCAGTATTTTGCATTTATGCTACGATTGCGTAAATACCAGGTGATATCTGATTTTTATGTTTATCGGCGGTTATTCAAACACATGTCAATGATTTGTTTTTAATTTTTAATTAACAGGGAATCATAAATATAAATCATGAGGAACAAACTTTAGAAATTGAAATCGACCCACAATCAAAAAATTCAAAAACCAATGAAAATCAAAACTCTAAAAATAAAAAAACTTTGCGGGATCTTCGTTCTTTATCTGGTGGTGAAAGATCTTACAGCACTGTGTCATTTCTTGTAGCATTGTGGAACTGTATGAATTTACCATTTTATTTTCTGGACGAATTTGATGTTTTTATGGTAAGTTAGCGGCGTAGTTTAATAAATTGTTTTGAATAGACATTCACACTCACACACATATGTGTATATATATATATATATATATATATATATATATATATATATATATTGGTTTTGACATAAGTGTTTTTGAACATATGGTGGTTCAATTTTCTTTATTATTGTAAAAGAGTGTAAGCAAGAAAGTAAGGAAATGATTTATAGATCACTTTAATATGTATATTAATTCAATACAGAATTTGATGTTGACTCGGATGAACCAAATAATCTGTTTCACTGCAATTGTAATCTTTGTTAATTCACAATCACCAACTTGCTAATGATTGTTATTATTATTATATTATGTATATATTGTTTTTTAAATTTGTTTGCCACTCACGATGACATGAATTCTATGTCTAATCTAATTTTTGTCTTTATTTTGTTTTAAGGATCATATCAATCGAAAGGTAGTTATGGATGTATTGATTCAAAGCGCAAATAGCAATCTACATAAACAATATGTATTTTTAACACCCCAAGATACTTCATCTATTACAGCCTCAGACACCCTCAAAATTCACAAGTAAGTGATGATAAACCAATGATATATGATTTTTAAAATAGTTGCTTTTGATATTATTATAAAAAATATCTGTATATAAAAGTGCAAATTTCAATGAGCTTATTTTTATTGTTTGAATAAATGATTATCATTTTATAAATTTTATAATCTAGCCTAACCACTAGTATTTTTCTCAAATTTCTTGAAGAGAATAATAAAACTGCGAAAGTACTAATTTTTGTGCATTGCTTGATATGACATTTAATTCCTATAAAATATTTTCAACATGGTTCATTTTTACTGTAAAATGAATAATTGATATAGTGCATAAAATCTATATATTTTTCATATAATCAACAATAGCATTTTACGTGAACCTTACTTTCGTTCTATTTTAATAATTAGATGCATTCCAAATTTTAATATCTACATTGTAATTGGATTATCAAACAAAAATTTAATTTTTGAAAAATTAATTGCCTAATATATTTTGAGTTTTGAAACTTATAATTGAATTTAATGCAAATAGCATTTAAAAATATCTGTGTTCTTATTGTTTCAGAATGGCTGATCCAGAACGTTAACGTGAATCTAATTTGAACCTAATGAAAAATATACTCAACATCAAATATACACTTTATTTTTTTAATCTTCACAACATCTATTGCACAGTGTACAAGAACATTCTTTTGGCATTAATATTAATAATGTGCATTAGTGTATATACATTACATCAGTCTTGTACCTATTGTGATTATTTTGATTTTAAAATTATGACAATTAAATAAATAAATAATCTTACATATATTTAACATAGTTCGTAAATACCCGAATAAGGTTCCTTCACCAACCAAACCCTAAAATCACTTTATATCTCTGTCATTCTTACTTGACAAAAATCTGAAAAGAGCTACAATGTGATTTAACCCTTATAGTAAAATGTTATCGATATTTTTCAATAGATAACAAATTTCTATAATAATTTCCTTAACTATATACAATTTTTATTCAAAGATATTGATCTTAAAGATTTTTTATTTTTAAGTCTTAAAAAATATATCCACAAAGTAGTTATGGTGTCAGATTTTTTGGCGAAAATGTGTGGATATTATTTATCCAGTTTGTTGTTCTTTAATTACTAATCAAATAATTGACATATTGAAATATTTTTTCGAGTTTTAAGAGAACGCAGGAAAAAAATTAAAATCTATAAATAATTTTTGATTATGTCGGCTCTAGTCGGTTTATGAATACGCATTTTTATATTACGCACTAACTCAATTTCAGAATATCTTTGTACAAAAATAGCTATCTCATAATTTGTTATTCTCATAAATAGGCGCCACAATGGCATTTAAATGCTTTCTTAGTTTCTTTAAAGGACTTTTTGAAAAACTCCACTATATATGTTTATATATCTTATGAGTTGATTATTGGAGATACTATTAATTATCATAATTTAATCAAGTTTGAAAGAACCAAGTTAATTGTTTAGTTAATAGATTTTAAAAAGAGAACGTCTAGTATAAATTATAAGATAGATAATTTATTTTTGATATGTAAGATTTTTCTTAAAAAGACCTTTAAAAACGCGTATTAAACCAATCGTTTAATAAACACGTGGATGGGGCAATTCTTAATGCTGTCATAACTCATGAGCATTGGCACATTTTGTAATTGCTATTTCTTATGTAGTTTTTTTCTACCGTTATATTTCATAACATTTACCAGAATTTGACTAAATATCTATTAGTATTATTAAAATCTAATTTTCTTATTATTGTTATTTAAACAATTGATATTTTCATACGTGATATCTGATCAACAATTTTATGTAAATAGATAAATAACTATTTACTATTAGTTAAAAAAATATTAATTATGGCTAACATTCTTTTGTCTAACATTCTTTTAGTCTCTATGAAACAAAACATTCATTTTGAAAAAAAAAATCATGATATGCTAATTGCTTTGCGAGATTTTAAGGGGGTCTTCCCTTAAAATGGGATGGGTTGAAAAAATAGATTTTTTTCATAAGTTATATATAAATAAATTTATATAAAGCAATTTCATAAATTGCTCCTTTAACATGCCTAGAATACGGTAGTAAAGCGATTTTAGAAAATTCGAAGTCGTTTTAAAGATACAGCAGGTAAAAGAAAGAGCGGTTCGGAGCGCTGATTTGGCAGTTAGAGCCGGGCCTATTGTGTACCGTCGGCTTTATACCCGGCCTCCCTTTTATTCATATATCCGTTTATACAAGTTTAGACACGTTTCTATGGACTTAAACAGAAATTTCTATTGTTATAATATTTTACCGAAGTTATTTTAGTCTTGGTTGAACTTCGAAGAGAGCAACAGCTACAAATATTTTTTTTCTCATAATGAGTGGACGGAAAGGAAGTACGAGTGGAAATGTTCATCCTGGTCGTAGTAAAAAAGAAAGTTTAGTGGAAACCGTTTTGGTGTAAATGGCGTAAGGCTGAAGCTAATAATTAACTGGACCAATTTCATCACGATAAACCACCTCTAATTCCGCAAGTCCAAGAAGCTATCAAACCGGTTTTCGAAGATTTATCGAAAGACGAATTATTAATTCGTTGTTTAGGAGCAGAGACACAAAACAATAACGAATCTTTGAATTCTTTGATTTGGACTTTCGCTCCTAAACATCTTCATTCTGGTCCCAAATTGTTGAAATTGCTAGCTACTTAGCAGTTATTATCTTTAATGAAGGTTTTCAAGGTATTTTAAAAGTTATGTCGATTATGGGATGCCCTGTTGGTCGTGAAGCCCCAAGCGTATGTTGAGAAACGGGATGAAAAGCGAATCTTACGTTCTGAGCGGCGCGTAAGTGATGTTGTTAAACAAGCCAGGATTGACTCAAGAGCTGAACAATCTGCTTCAAAGGAGTTTCACGAGAAGAGGAAGGAATACTGTATGGACCAGGCATCGGCGATTGAGAGTAAATTGATATTTTAATAGTTTTTAACGGACTTGAAACTTTAAACGCGTTTTTCTCAAAACTGTGTTTTTTCAAACTTTCCTCAATTGTATATCGGAAACGGCTGGACCGAATTACTTGAAATTTACAGGGCACACTCAATATATTTAAACGCATGGAATGAACTATTATCAATCGATTGAATAGAAAATTTTCAAAATTCGATTTTTTATAGCAAAAAAAAAAAACAAAAAAAGCCTAATTTGCCAACTTTTATTTCAATTGTCTATCAAAAATCCAATTTTTTTATATTCATTTGATTATAGGTCATTCCGTGCTTTTAAGCCTACAAATTAAAACGCCGTTATTTTTTTTCAGATAAGCCGATCAGCCGGAATCGTGGAGCAAGTGGGAGCTCTTTTTTTCGAGGCGGGGGTGTTTCAGAGCGCTGTAACTCTAGTTTGACTGAATATTTTTAGCTGAAATTTATATATTTATACTGTCCAAATATGTGTTAACAAATGATAAAAAACTTGAAGCTCTAAATATTTACTGGTCGTAGAAAAAAAATCCTAAAATATGCCTAAAAAACAGGCCGTCACATAGGAAGACCCCTTAATAATTGATTATCATTTCTTAGTGAAAGCTTAACAACAGGCAACATGGGCGTAACCAGGATTTGGGAAAAAAATATTAACGCATGTCCACAAATTTATATTAATATGCTTTTTTTCAGATCATCCCTCGAATAGGGGAGGAGGTAAAGTCCTCCACCTGTTCTTCCTAGCTGCATCCATGAGTATAGGATATTTATACTTCTTAGAAAACTCGACCGTACGGCCAGGAACCATCAGGTGTATTCACCAAGAGCTTAGTGCTGCTTCCGCCTATTGAAAAGCCGCTTCTACTGCAAGCGTAAAGGTTGAAAATCTTCGGTGAGATTGTCTTTTAGCGCGAGATCTTATAACCATGAACACAGGGCGACTATTATGGCGATTAAAAATATTAATCCCAATATACAGAAGATAATGCCAATTTTTGTGGCGACAGACATAATGTCCCGGCCTGCGGCTTTCTTTTCTGTATTTTCGTTACCATCAATATCCTGTCGAATTCTTTGCGGCAGCACTGGGAA